ATATATATATATATATATAATAATAATAATAATAATAATAATAATAATAATAAAGGGAATGTTACAATTATCACTTTACCCGTAAGAAATTATATTTAAAGCTTAATAAACTTTCCATTTCATTAAAATGATACAATGAAAATCCTCTTAATTTTAATTAAAAAAGAACATGACGAAATGGACCAACCCAAGTTTGTTTTAGTCAAACTTTTCAAGATTCTAGGTTAAGATCTACCAAAAAAAAATAAACAACAACTTGTCCAACCTACTAAATTAAAAAGAGAACATTTTTCATAGAACCTTATTTTTTCAAGAAATGTTCTTTTGGAATGCCCAATTTGCTTGAGCAAGAGTTTCAAGAAATGGCCTTCCTCCTTTTTTCATAGATTTCCTTTCCAGACGACGTTGTCTTTCTCCATGCAAAATATCAGCAATCCTTCACAAAATTATAAAACCAAAACAGAATTCGATATTATATATAATTGAATTGAAAAATACAGTATAATTGAGCTTTAATCACTGTAGGTTTTAGGCATAAAAATATTTAAGTAAATTAAAAGGTTAAATTTGTTCATTTTTTTTTTCACCTGTCAAGAGCCTCAGCATTTGTTCCCACCCCTTCTTCTATATTAAAAGTGTCCAAATTCATCTTCACAACTTTTTCTTGTAGCAGTTGTTTTCCAGTCTTCTCCAGGCCTTCCAAGTTTTCTTCAGTAACATTAACTGAGTTTGAGAAATCAGGATTCAAGTCGTATTCCTGCCATTCATTACATCAATCATCGTTATCCAAACTAGAAATAGGATAATGATATTTTGACAACATATTTTTGACAACATTTTAACATCATCTACGTGTCATTCTGTAATTAGTCCAAAATTACTCCACAGTCAATAATAATAATCATAAACACCAACATGGACCAATCACAGAATGATATGTAGATGGTGTTAAAAGGTTGTTAAAAAAAATATTATCAAAACATCATTATTTTAGAAATAGTTCTTAAAGCATATATTATGAGCATGGAATAAAAGTATTAATGGGAGTCAAATGTCAACTAGATTTTTACATGCATACATCAATTCGAAGGTATGTACTCGTAGAAGGTGGGAATCTTGAAAAGAGTGAAGCAGGATAGTATTTAGCCATGGCTGAAGAAGCACGACCCTGCATATCTGTTGCAATAGCATCCCATATATCTTCTGTCCAAAAGGCAGCCACGCGAGCATCAAAAAAATTACTCTCCACATATTTTGTATGTCCAGTTCCCAAAGACAAGACCAAGATTTTCGGATACTCTGCGTGTTGTAACACTTCACTTACGGTTACATGTGTCTGTCAAATTTCACTTCACATGGTTAAACTTGAGACATTGAGTCGTGTATATATATAAATGCATGCATCATAATTGACATGTACCGGATTCTGAGCTACTACACCACCATCTACCATATTGAACTCAACTCCATCGTTCTGAAAATAGTAAGGTGGTAGCTGAGTGGGTGTAGCTGAAGTCGATATGCATATATCTGACAACAAGGCATCTAATTAGGGAACATTCTCAAGCTGCATCACAAAAATATTATGTTAATCAGTGTTTGGAAAGCCTTATTGAACAAGGTATCAACAAAGGACAGTTTAGTGCACAGATGTGTAAGGATTGGTAGTAGTACTTCTTTTGGCTTATTGAACAAGGACAATTTAGTATAAGGATTGGTTGTAGTTCTTGGGTATCAGTCATACAGCACAGGCACACACAACTTTAACAAGAAGAAAAAATATTGACAATAGGCAAAAGATTTTATACTGGTGAAAGAAATTTAAAACACCTCTCTCTTTCAATACAAAACTTTTCAAAATTACGAGAATTTTGAAATGAAAGAATACGAGAGAATGAAATGTATAACAAAGAGGGCAAGTCATTTCTTTTATAACCACTAAACCATAACCTTTTAGAAGTTTCCACCAATGTAAGACTTCCTCACAGTAGTACTCCTTTTCGGTTATGTAAGCAAGTCGAGAAGAGCCTACTGGAACAGTTATGATGGTGTAGCCTAAGAAATTAGTCTAAGTGACAGAGTAGCAGACATATAAATACAAAACTTATGCTGCTAACCTTGTAGTTTGAGAATATGACTGGCTTTTGTCTCTTGAGGTCGAAAGCTGGGATTACAACATTGGTAAGTGTTTGACTAAGTCGAGTATCCTTCAAGAGTTCACGAGTTACGTTATGTAAAAACTCCCCATCGAACTTGGGACCGTTTCCAGGTCTGCATGTTAGTTTGTTTCGTCAAGAGGAAACACAAAACAAAAGCATGTTATAATTAGTTGCCTTTTAATAGTTAATATTGACGATGTTCTGAGAATATCAGTGCTATTCTTACCTAGATTCATTGAATATATGAGGGCCATTTTGTTTGTAGAAGTCTACAATTTGTGCAGGAGTAAAGGCAGCACGAGTAGCATCATCAGGGCTTGGGGTGGCTAACATAGCTGCTATGAGTCCACCAGTGTCAGTCCCTCCTATCACTTCAAAATAATGTGCTAAATCTGCATTTGGATCCTTAGCCTGCATTCAAGTTAACCTCATAAGCATTCATTCATGCAAATTCAGTACATGGATATATAGTATTAACAGTAAGAATGAACCTTAAGAGCCTTATCTAAGTAATCAAGAACTGTTGCTGGAATAATCCCCTTTATTCCGCCACCATCAATGCTCAGAACAGTTAACCTCTTTCTATTGTCAGATGGAGTCAGTTTCTGGGTACTGAATCCACCAGTCAGTTGCCCATCAAAGAGCAAAACAAAGAAAACCAAATGAGCCATTAATGGCTTCACAAGGTAGTATAGAAGTAGTTGAGAGAATTGTTTGATTTGTGCTGAAATGTTAAGGTATTGTAGAAAGTTTTTTGCAGGATAGATTCATGTACCCTTTGACAGAAAACTTTGTTCACGGATCACCCTGATAATGGTTTTGGAAGCAGATGAGGCTGAAAGCTTTTCTTAGAGATTTTGTTCGGATAAGGCTGAAAGCTTTTCCTAGAGATTTTGTTCGGATAAGGCTGAAGATTCCTTACAGATGATGTGATGAACTGTTCTGTCTGTAACATTTTAAATTATTTAAATTGGTGCATTATGTTTTTCTTTTCTAAATTATTATAAAAATTATATTTTATTTTTAAATTGAATTATAAATATTTTATTTGTATATTTATAAAACTTGTTTAATATCTCCTCTGCAGAGGTTATAATATAATTCTTATAAAATATTTCAAACGTCATTTACTTAAAAAAAAAATTATATACTTCTTATAAAATATAGAAACTAGATACTTTATAATTTTATCTAGTACTATAACATATATTTTTAAATTTTTTTTATTAAATATATTTATTTCAAACTTACTTCTCAATTAATATATATATATATATATATATATATATATATATTTTGATGTACTTTGTAACGTCAGTTGTTGTTGAATGCGTAAATTCATTACTTTGTTGTTGAATGCGTAAATTCATTACTTTGTTGTTGAATTCGTAAATGCATTACTTGTTTTCTTCTTATTTGTTTCTCTTTTCTATGGGTATGATTTGTGATAATATCATTTTTTAGTGTCCTAATTCTAATGTGATGCTAAATTTCATATAAATAAAAAGTATATTTATGCTAGGATGATATTAATATTGACTTAGTCAATATCTACAGAGTTCGATTAATCTTACACACTAATGTAAAGTACAAAAAGAGACTTCTACGATGTTAAATAACGACATTTAAAAAATCAACATCATAAGAAATTATGTAGTGATAGTATTTGTAATTTTTGTGACCTGTCATTAAAAGTGAGATAGATGAGAACAACGATGTTATACAGAGAACCATTGTTAAAAATGAAATTCTTTCGACCCAGCTTCTTTTTCTTAGACAACTTCATTTTAAAATACTTTGACAACATTTTAACACAATTAACGTGTCATTCTGTCATTCTGTGATTGGTCCATGTTGGTGTTTATGATTATTATTATTGATTGTGTAGTAATTTTGGATTAATCACATAATGATACGTATACAATGTTAAAATATTGTCAAAAGTATCATTTTTCTTTAGCTTTTCCTCTTCCCCTATACTTTTGTTTTTCTCTTTCCTTGCATTTTTACAATTGTGGCCAGTCACAAACTGTTGCTCAAGTCGATAAATAGTGTCGATCTTGACACATGCCACGAGTCTTGGCCGCACTGTGTTTTGTAAAATCTATGTCGTGAAGCTCTTTTACAAAGCTCTTATGTGAGTGAATTGTGTCTATCTAGAAAAGGCAAGAAAAACAAAGAAGCAATAACTTCTTAATTAGAAGTGACGTAGAATTAACCTTGTTTTTACAGTAGGGAGGATGCTTGGTATATTATTCATGGTTCTTGCTGGCTGTAAGAGTTGCACAGAACTCATATATATATATAAGCCATCAACCTTATTCTGTAGATAGTACAACAAGCATGGATAACTAATACAAATGACATCACATAACTTTGGTCTTTTGAAATGCCCAATTTGCTTTAGTTTTGTCAGAAGGAACCCTAAGAGTTTCAAGAAAAGGTCTTCCTCCTTTCTCTACAGATTTTTGCTTCAGACGATGCTGTCTTTCTCCATACAAAATATCAGCAAGCCTTCATAACAACATAAAAACATTCCCCACAAAATCAGAATTAGATATTATACATATCTGAACCATCAGCCACGGTAGGTTTTAGGTATTAAAATTGATGTATAAAATTAATAATTGAGTAAATATTTCACCTGTCAAGAGCCTCAGCATTTGTTCCTACGCCTTCTTCTACGGAGAAAGTGTTCAAATTGATCTTCTTAACTTTTTCTTCTAAAAGTTCTTTCCCAGTCTGTTCAAGACCGTCCATGTTTTCTTTTGCAACTTCAACCAAGCTGGAGTGAGCAGGATCCAATTCGTATTCCTGTCATTGATTACTTGAGCAGTGAATTATTCAAAGATAAACAATTCAAACCAATAAATAATTTATAAGAAAGTGTTGGAAATATTAGAATAATTTAAAAAATAATTTTAATGGTGTCTTGTTTGTAAACCTGAATTCGAAGGTAGGTAATGGCAGGTTGTTGGAAGAGTGAACCATGATAGTACTCTGTCATGGAGGTAGTTGCACGATCAATGAAAGTGATCCCATGAATAAGCCATTCCCAATCGCTCCATGTGGCAGCCATTTCAACATCCAAATCCGGCTGAGTTTCTTTTGTTCCAGTTCCCAAAGACAATACAAGTATTCTGGAATACTTATTGTGTCGTAGTGCTTCACTCACGGTTGCTCTAGTCTGATAAAAAAGTATAAGTATCCATGCATCATAATTTACATCTAATTAATTTTATTATATTTGTAATAAATAGCGAAATTAATTTACCGGATTCCCATTTACTAAGCTCTCATCAAGGATACTAAACATACTCAAGTCCGCACCGCTAATCAAATTGAACTCAACACCATCATTCTCAAAATAGTAGGGTGGTAGAATAGTGGGTGCTGCCGAAGCCGATATGCTTATATCCGACATCAAGGCATTGAAGTACGGATACCTTCCAAGCTACATCACCAAAAAATTATGTTACTTATTTTTTTCAGTAAAGAAATATATAATATATGCATACGCTGCTAACCTTGTAGTTTGAGAATATAACTGGTTTTTGTGTCTTGATATCGAAAGTTGGGATGACAACATTGGTCAATGTTTGATTAAGTCGTGTATCCTTAAACACTTCACGACTTATGTTGTGTAAAAACTCTCCATCGAATATGGGACCGTTTCCAGGTCTTCATGTTGCTCGTTTACAAACACAAACCAAAGCATGTTATTATTTGTTGCTGTCAATTGTTAATATTGATGATGTTGGGAGAATATTAATTGATGTTATTATTATACCTAGATTTATTCAATACATGAGGGGCGTTTTCTTTGTAGAAGTCTAGAATTTGTGCAGGAGTAAAGGCAGGACGAGTAGGATCATCAAGGCTTGGGGTGGCTAACAGAGCTGTTATGAGTCCACCAGTGCCAGTCCCTCCTATCACATCAAAGTAATTTGCTAAATCTGCATTTGGATCCTTGGCCTGCATTCAACTTAACCTCATAAACATTCATTCATACATACAGTTTCAGTACATGAATATATAGTATTAACAGTAAGAATGAACCTTAAGAGCCTTATCTAGGTAATCAAGAACAGTTGCTGGAATAATCCCCCTGATACCACCACCATCAATACTCAGAACAGTTAATACGTTTCCACTGTCAGATGGAGTCAGTTTTTGGATACTGAATCCACCGATCAGTTGCCCAGCAAACAGCAAAACAAAGAAAACCAAATGAGCCATGAATTTCTTCACAAGGTACTATAGAAGTAGTTCAGAGAACTGTGTGATTTATGCTGAAATGTAAGGCCTATTTATAGAGTTTTTTTGCAGGATACATACATGTACCATTATTAAACAAATGTTAGGCACAGCTTATTTTATGCATGATAATGGTGCTTCTCATTGCTTACATAAGAAGCGGCAGAGTTTTAAATGGTTCCAAACGGAAAGGATAATACAATTAAATCCAATCCATCATATTACGTATATTTTAATGAAGAATGCGTAAAACGTTCTCCCCTTTATTTAATACAAATTGTTTTAAACATTTACTTTTTCTTTATATTTTGAACAAGTATGATATCATGTATATAACAGGTAGAGACTGAAGTTCAACCATTTTCTAAACCGCTAAAATATTTAAATTTGTTATAGACCAAAAATTATTAATTCCCAAATATTTATATTTTTTTACCGATTTAATCATTGAAAATTTTTTATAGACCAAAAATTATTAACTACTAAATTATATATAACTTAAATTACCGATTTAAGTTATAGACCGAAAATGCTTAAATATTTCACAGGTTTTGCAGTACATAGTTCATTATTACAAAAGCACAAGTTTTCACAGGGAAAATATTTTTTACAAGGAAAATAGTTAACAGACACCGTTTTTAAACTTAGAGGCTTTATTAGAGTCCAATTTGTTCTCCTATCAGAATTACCTAATATGTTGAATTTGTAGTCCAAGGGAAAGCTCAGGTAATCTTGTTGGAAAATGTTTTAATTGCGATAGATTAACTATTTTCATTTAAAACTCTGCCGCTTCTTATGCAAAAAAACTCTATAAATAGGCCTTACATTTCAGCATAAGTTACACAGTTCTCTGATATAGTTCTCTGAACTACTTCTATAGTTCTTTGAACTACATCAAATTGTTAATGATTTGCAAGACGAAATACCAACCCAAAAAACTCCTAGAACAATAAATGTGAGAGGTTATTCCATGTAAATCTCTTATTACAAATCACTATTGAGAAATGCATTGTTGTCATCTCGTGGATAATAAAGAGATCATTTTTGGAGAGTATACGCGACTATAAATAAACTAAGAAAAGCCATATTTTTAATAGGAGAAAAAAATATATGGATAAGTCAAACACAAAGGTAACAAAAAAGAGGTTAGAAGAGCTGACATTCGAAGAAGTTATGGATGAATAGGGGAGAGAAACCATACAAATCCAAGATTCTCTAATCAAAGTACTTGAAAAAGAAAAAAGAGCAACATTGATGCTCTGAATAGCTGCTTGAGAGAAGACGAGACCGTATGGCAGAGAACTCGACGCTCTGAATTGCTAATAGACATGTCACCATGCACGACGAAAAATGGAGCAAATTTACAACTTCAAAAAGCGTTTAGAGCGTGTAGGAGTTTCGATGAAGGCGTCCTTGATGACATGGTGATCGTATGGTAGAAACGACCAAAACCATGTGATCGTCGCTTGAAACTAGAACTCTAATAAATGACACCTTAGATAGGGTTGTCGCTGGTGATGATTTTCAAAACCATAAAAATATAAGATTCTCCAATTAAGATTTTCCAAAATTTGAATGATTTTAAAAACTAGGTGATTATTTTTAATATATATTTTTATAAAAGTCATAAAAAACAAAGAGTTAGAATTGGATTATTCAGAATTATAACAGTTCTTTACAAAAATGATTGAGAAAAAATGTCAAAAAATGTAGACTCGTAGGTGTCCACATAGTTTTTGTTCTTGCTTGCATTGGGGACCTAAAGTTTTATGCATGATGTATGTTTTTCTATTTCAAAATATTTATAATTACCGACAACACTGGATATTGTGTGCTTGGTTGGCAGAGAATGAAAGTTAGACTCAAATTAACTTATTCAGTATTCTCTACCTGTTATATGCATGATATCATACTTGTTCAAAATAAAAACATAACATAAATGTATAAATAAGTTTGTCTTTTATAATGGAGAGAAAACGTTTTACGCATTCTTCATTAAGAGATACGTATTGTGTTATCCTTTCCTTTGGGAACCATTTAAAATTGTGCAGCTTATGTAAGCAATGAGAACCCTTGTGAAGCAAGAAAATCTATAAATAGGCTTTACATTTAAGCACAAATCACACAATTATCTCAACTACTTCTATAGTACCTTGTGAAGCAATTCATGGCTCATTTGGTTTTCTTTGTTTTGCTGTTTGCTGGGCAACTGATTGGTGGATTCAGTACCCAAAGGTTGCCACCACCAAACAATGGAAACATTATAACTGTTCTGAGCATTGATGGTGGTGGTATCAGGGGGATTCTTCCAGCAACAGTTCTTGATTACTTAGACAAGGCTCTTAAGGTTCATTCTTAATTTTAATACTATATATACTGAAACTGTATGAATGAATGAAGGTTTATGAGGTTAACTTGAATTTTGTTGAGTTGCAGGCTAGGAATCCAAATACAGATTTAGCACATTATTTTGATGTGATAGGAGGAACTAGCACTGGTGGACTCATTACAGCTATGTTAGCCACCCCAAGTCCTCATGATCCTAGTCGCGGTGCCTTTACTCCTGCACAAATTGTAGACTTCTACAAACAAAATGGCCCTCATATATTCAATGAATCTAGGTATAATAATAACACTGCTATTCTCAGAACATCATCAATATTAACAATTGACAGCAACAAATGATAACGTCATTTCGTTTGTGTTTCTGATGACGAAACAACCAACATGCAGACCTGGAAACGGTTCCCAATTCGATGGAGAGTTTTTACATAACATAACTCGTGAACTGTTGAAGGATACACGACTTAATCAAACATTGACCAATGTTGTCATCGCAACTTTCGACATCAAGACACAAAAGCCGGTTATATTCTCAAACTATAAGGTTAGCAGCATATGCATATATTAATTTCTTGATACAATAAAATCGAAACACCAATTAATATAATGTTTGGCTGATGCAGCTTGAGAATGCTCCGTACTTAAATGCGTTGTTGTCGGATATATCGATATCGACTTCAGCTGCACCGACTCAACTACCACCTTACTATTTTGTGAACGATGGTGTTGAGTTCAATATGGTTGATGGTGGTTTTGCAGCTGGGAATCCGGTAAATTAATTTAGTTATTGGTTACTTAAAATCACATGTGAGTTGTGATAGCATGCATGGATATATCAAGTTTAACAAAATCAAGTTTGGTTTGATCAGACACAACCAACAATAAGTGAAGTGCTACAACACAATGAATATCCGAATATCTTGGTGTTGTCTGTGGGAACTGGAACAGAAAAAATTAAGGAGACCTTTGATGCTCAGACGGCTGCCAATTGGAATCCATCGGAATGGATATCTCCTGCGATTGGTTTCCTTGGTCGTGCTCCTACACCATGGACTGAATACTACCTTGAATCACTCTTCGTAGGCTCCCAACCTGGCGATATATACCTTCGAATTGAGGTATATATTTCTTTTTATTTCTGGACAGTTATTTATAGCATTGGATTATATATTGATGAATCATGTCATCCATGACAGGAATACGACTTGAATCCTGATTTCTCCAACCAAGTTAATGCCTCACAAGAAAGCATGAACGGCCTTGAAGAGACCGGAAAACAATTGTTACAAGAAAATGTTGTAAAGTTGAATTTGGATACTTTTGATCTTGAAAAACTTCAGCTGAAAAATTCGGAGGGTCTTGACAGGTGAAAAGAAAAATGAATTAATTACCTTTCAATTTACTCAACTATTAAATTTTACTAGTTTTGAGGGGATTGCTTTTATGTATTTTTATGAAGGATTGCTGATATTTTGCTTGGAGAGAGACAACGTCGTCTGAAACGGAAATCTATCGAAAAGAGAGGAAGACCACTTCTTGAATCTCTTAGGGTTTTTTCTGACAAAGCTCAAGCGACTTCGGCACTCCTAAGGAACCTTTTTATTTAATGTCAACTGTATGACCTTGGATTAACTCTCTCTTCTGTCCTTTATTCACGCTCGTTGTACTATCTAGAATAAGCAAGGCATTTGAGTTATATGTAACTCTTGTGGCTGCCAAGCATCTCTGTTTAAGAAAAGGTTCACACTCCATGAGAGTTCTATGCAGCTCTTATTGAAAGAACTATGAATGTAATAAGTGTCAATGTATAATATTATGCTCTACGTATGTGAGTTTTTTTGTTTCTTTTTCCTTTGTGATTTAAGATGAAAACAATAGGTTAACACAACTACCATCGTGTGAAATTCGTTTTTGACATCAAGATATTGTATCAGTTCAAAATAAAAACTGTGACAAATTAAAAATTTAAAAGATATTACGTCATTTTCATAAATTGTATACTTTAGGTTGTTCCATGGATATAATACGTTTTGGAAAGTCCCACGTCGCCTACGATAAACTATGGAGCAAGTCCAAGATGTTTTTTATCCGTAGTCTAAGACACTTTGAGTTATTGTTTGACTTTTCTTATATTTTTGTAGGAGCATGTTGTTAGGTGTAGTTAAATTCTTACCGTAGAAAGTATGGATCTATTTGGGGTCAAAAAATTTGAGATATTTTTCTATTTGCACTAGATTTTCCTCATATTTGGAGCTCCTACTTATATTCTTGTGTTTATTGTGTTGATATGGTAGTAGGATAAAGACAATGCAGTTTTCTCCCACAATTGGTATCATAGCTTCTGATTCAGTACGATTTTTCTTAGTATTCTTTGTGATTGGAACTTAGTTTGATCTTCTACAACAAAAAGATAAATTTCTTGTTGCTAGATAATCATCCTTATTTGCTAAAGTTGCAATGAGAAATTTAAAGGAAAGATCAATGTCATGGTCGTGTATGCGCACTGAAACTACATTAGAGGTAAAACAAGTATATATTAATAATTACAACAGAAAAAAACATGAACATACACTTAGGGATTTATTCACCAAAATATACACACAAAAATACTTAAAATCAATCGTTACCTAACTAAGGGATTGCTATCACACATAATTGTGACATTTGCTGTCAGACCTTGGAAATTTAACCCAAACCCCACCTGTTTAATCTCATTTAATGCACCCAAAACCCCTGCTCAGAATCATTAAAACGCACTCAAAACTCTGTAAACTGATGCCAGGTGTCAAGAATGGAAGATTCGAAAATCAGTAGTGGAGGACAGGTGTCTACAGGAGAGCGCACGTCCGGTTGGATGTGGGGCAGACAAAAATGATTTTCTGAAAACCCTACCCACTCTCCTCTGCATGCACCTTCTCCTTTCCAAATTCTGATTTTTCCATTTCCTCCTCCTTCTCTCTAGAAGTTTCCCTTCTCTCTACTGTAACTCATCCATCTCCTCTCCGATCATCATTCAGAGACCATAGGAGTATTCTCGGCGTCCCAAGCTTCCTCTTAAACCGAACAAATTTCAAGTTTGAGCTGGTAAGTTTCTCTTCTTCGTCGTGCGTTCTTTTGTTACATGCAAAGCCAAATTCTGGTTGCATGAAGGAGGTATAGTCTAAGTTATTCTTGATTTTTGGTTAGATTTAGTTGGAAGAGCTAAGTGATCTTTGAGGGTAGAAAGCTGTAGGCGGACGAACCCAAAATCTTACGTTTAGGACGTTTCACTCACTGATCCAGGTAAGGGAAGCTTATTTAATTTAATCTGTATGTAGTTGTTTTGTATGAACGTCCGTTGTTTGACTGAGTGAATATGGTGCATGCTGGTTGATATGTATGGTAATGGTTGATATGTATGAATGTGAATATGAGTAATCGTTTTGGAGTATGAATTATAACTATGGATTCTATGAAGTATTTAAATTGATATTTGGAGTGAAGTTATAAGGTTATGAACCGATGTGTTGAAATTTGAATTTGAGATAAATGAAAATCTGAATATGAAATGTTCACTATGATAATTTACGTTCGTCATCGAACGGTCCTCTACCGTTCGGTTTTTCTAGTAAACTGTTTAAAATTGGAATTCTTTCATTTGGAGAGAATTCTAATCGAGGACGAGCGTCCTCATGTGGAACACTATGTTTGAGCGTTCGTCCAAGCATAGTTGTACCCGGATATCCGAAATGAAGTAATATACCCTCATACTTTAAGACTAGTAGTGCTCGGTCTTATACTTAGCGCTCGTAATAAGTGGCGCTCGGTCTTACACCTAGCGTCCGTACTAATTAGTGTTCGGTTTTATACCTAGCACTCGTAATGAGTAGTGCTCGGTCTTATACCGAACGCTCATACTTGTTTTTAATTATCAAGCTTGTTGAAATAGCGTTCGTCCAACTTCAGTAATATTTTCCTTTACCATGTTCGACTGGCATTGAATTTCCGTATGTGAACTATTCTAAATATAATTTCTTAACATCATGATTAGTCTTCTTTTATTGGATCCGGCCTAAGGCCTCCATATTTGACTTATTCCTTAAGTATTGGTTTGAACTCGAGAGTTAGTTCATCCAACTGACTCACGTGGTAAATACCGTTCGTCACATATTGCACTAGTTTTCTCAATTTATTTCTTAAATCCAAAAGTAACTCTCTTAGTCTTATTCTGTTCTAAATGGGAAAATTGTCGATATCATTCTTATCGTTCGTCCTCGTTCTAAAGGGGTCTGAACGTTCGGTATTTTATATTCTTAGGGCAAATGATGAATTTAAATGTATTGGAAATGAAAGAGAAAATTGAGAAAAGTGATAGTGAAAGATGAAAACGAGATTGAGTATGAATAAAATTATGTGAAGTTGAACGAGCATTCTGGAGAGGAACGACTCATGTATTGAATATTTGAAATTGGTAAAGTATGACTGTGGGCATGCTAATGCTGACAGTTCATCCTGATGTTCTGTGAGTACTCATCCTCACATAAAAAAGAATAGATCATGTGTGGAAAGAACAGAAAGTACTAATCCTTAGGACCAAACGACCTATTGTGAAGCAGAGACTAAACAACAGAGGCCCGTTACATACCGAACGACATATTGTCAAACAGAGAAGAAGGAACGAAATTGCGTAGAGGGACACGTCAGCAGAGGAAGAATATTAAATGTCGTGATTTCATTCTGGAATAGTATGTGGAATTTTGTGTCTCTTCTGCACTTCTTTCTATGCATTCTCTGGTGTTTTCTTTTCTTTCCCTTTGATGTGTATTTTTGCTCTGACTGTAAAGGGAATCTTATCCCTAACCGACACTTTTACTCCTTCTAGAAGCTTAGATAATACTTCTATTAAGAGCATTACGGCGTTGCCCTAATTTTTTCCATCGAGTGCAGGTTTCCTTTCACTGATATTTGGTTAACTTTAGTACTGTTGGAATCGGTACTGTTACATATTCTCATAGTTTCTCTCATTTTAATTTCAACCTCTTTTAAAAACTCATAAATTATATATTTTTTAAAATATTTGTAAATATCGTTATCTGCTAATTGAAAAAAATTTGTGAGTTTTTTTTATATAAAAGTATCCGATAAGTAACAAAACATTAAATATGATTTTTTCATGTGTATCAAATAGCGAATAAGTACTATTCATACCGATCAACCCAATATGAAATCCACACTTTTAAGATTGGTTATACTTTTAAATTTTAATTATTTAATGCAATAGTCATAATATATCAAGACTATGCCCAGACGTTTTTGTATGGTCACTTTTATCATCATTCACTTTATNCCGGCGTCCCAAGCTTCCTCTTAAACCGAACAAATTTCAAGTTTGAGCTGGTAAGTTTCTCTTCTTCGTCGTGCCTTCTTTTGTTACATGCAAAGCCAAATTCTGGCTGCATGAAGGAGGTATAGTCTAAGTTATTCTTGATTTTTGGTTAGATTTAGTTGGAAGAGTTAAGTGATCTTTGAGGGTAGAAAGCTGTAGGCGGACGAACCCAAAATCTTACGTTTAGGACGTTTCACTCACTGATCCAGGTAAGGGAAGCTTATTTAATTTAATCTGTATGTAGTTGTTTTGTATGAACGTCCGTTGTTTGACTGAGTGAATATGGTGCATGCTGGTTGATATGTATGGTAATGGTTGATATGTATGAATGTGAATATGAGTAATCGTTTTGGAGTATGAATTATAACTATGGATTCTATGAAGTATTTAAATTGATATTTGGAGTGAAGTTATAAGGTTATGAACCGATGTGTTGAAATTTGAATTTGAGATAAATGAAAATCTGAATATGAAATGTTCACTATGATAATTTACGTTCGTCATCGAACGGTCCTCTACCGTTCGGTTTTTCTAGTAAACTGTTTAAAATTGGAATTCTTTCATTTGGAGAGAATTCTAATCGAGGACGAGCGTCCTCATGTGGAACACTATGTTTGAGCGTTCGTCCAAGCATAGTTGTACCCGGATATCCGAAATGAAGTAATATACCCTCATACTTTAAGACTAGTAGTGCTCGGTCTTATACTTAGCGCTCGTAATAAGTGGCGCTCGGTCTTACACCTAGCGTCCGTACTAATTAGTGTTCGGTTTTATACCTAGCACTCGTAATGAGTAGTGCTCGGTCTTATACCGAACGCTCATACTTGTTTTTAATTATCAAGCTTGTTGAAATAGCGTTCGTCCAACTTCAGTAATATTTTCCTTTACCATGTTCGACTGGCATTGAATTTCCGTATGTGAACTATTCTAAATATAATTTCTTAACATCATGATTAGTCTTCTTTTATTGGATCCGGCCTAAGGCCTCCATATTTGACTTATTCC